TTTTGGCGCTGTCCCCAAAGCTACCATTGGGGACGTCAGCACCTCTCTTGCCCTGCGCATCGAACACGCCAGGGCCTTACTCCTTCCCTTAGCTGGAGCTGCCCTGGACCGACAGAAGTGTTTCGACTACCTCATCACGGACATCTGCCTTAACCTTGCGCTTCACGCGGGGTGTCCCCAAGACATCGTTACTGTCCGCAGAAACTTCTACAGTCGCCACAAACGCTACATCCGCATGAACGGTGCGTACTCTAAGGAACTGGCCAGGACAAACGGTCACCTCCAGGGAAGCTCTTGGTCCCTGGACGACATTAAGCTGCTCATGTGTGTGTGGACCAAGAGACAGCATCGATACGTTCCGCGATCACTCAGCACTACCTTTGTTGACGACAGCAACTCCACTACCCACACCGCGCCTGAGTTGCAGAAATCTCTTGATGAAACCGCCAAGTTTGATCGATTTTCAGGTCAACGCATTCACCCTGGCAAAGTGGCGGGGTGGGCGCTCACCGACGAGCTTCACACCGCCGTTACCCAGCTCACTCTGGCGGAACGGCCCTTACGCGTGGTCGACTCCTTCAAGCTCGTCGGGAGTTACATCAACGCCGAGGCAGCGCCGGCTCCAGCCGCGCTTAACCTCACGGCCACCGCTGACGCCCGTGTTCGCAGGGCGACTAGTCGCCTGCCGCGCATTGGCAAGCTCCCATCACCGATGCTTATTAAGGCGCGGCACGCCCGTTCCCTTGCTGCCAGCGTCTGTACCACGGGCACCGACATTCAAGCCCCATCAGGCCCCGTCAAAACTGCCTACAACCATGCCCTTAAGGCGGCTATCCGCCCCAAGGGAAACAGGTGGGTCGAGTTTTGGACTCTCATGGCCGTGTGCGTCCCAGGACACGCCCTGGAGATTGACGCCATTATGCAGCGTGAAGTCTTCCTGTGTCTGCGGCGACAGGTAAACCGCGACGCTACTCTCTGCGGTCTCGTCAGGGATCTCCAACACCATGTCCAGACCCTTTTCGGGGGAGGACCTGTCGGACGACTTGTCCAGACGCTTCAGCAGCTCCGTTGGACCTGGCCCACATTTGGCATCATGTACGACGACTGGGGCTGTCAGATCAGTTGGCTGAACTTACCCCAAAACGCCTTCCTTCACATGCTGCGAGCCTCACAACGCAGAGCCTTTCTGAGAAAAATCAAGCCACGGCGTCATGACCTTGGACACCTGGCCTCTGTCAGACAGGGCCTCGACCTCTTCGCCAGCACGTGGCTCGCCCGAACGAAAGGAGCAGCCAAATGCAACGCATGGCAGCTGGCGCTCCTCCTAAACTACCTGTCGGGCGGGGACCACACCCAACAGCGACGATCCCGATCAAACACGTCCGCTGACCCCAGCCCCATCTGCCGATACTGCGACGAGGAAGAGGAAACTCAGGAGCACACTGTTCGCGACTGCAAGTGCTGGGCCCGAGAAAGAGTCCCTCTCACCACCCTCATCAGTGACGAGCAGTGGGCCCGTCTTCCGCCGCACACAAGACACTGCGGGCTCTTCGATGAAGACCCAGCCCTCCTCGACCTGCAGGCCGACCTCGCGAGGGACCCGCTACCTCAGCCCATACCGCGGCCCCCACCTGAGGGAGATCCTGCGGCTTCAGCCCAGGACTCCTACACCACCTACCTTGACCACGACACTGGTTGGACATGGGTCTACGCTGCCACGGACGGTGCATGCACCAACCAAGCCATCCCATTGCTTGCACGAGCGGGCTACGGCGTCTACTACGGCATCGACCACCGCATGAACTACAGTGCACGCGTTCACGGCATTACGCAGAACGCACAGCTTGCGGAGACCCTCGCCATTGTCCACCTCACGGCATGTGCTGAACGGCCCGTACACGTTTTCGTGGACAACCAGGCGGTGGTTGATGGTTTCCAAAGGATCATCGACGGACACTCACCACCGCAGGGCACGCACGTGGAGCTCTGGGAAAAGATCCACCGATGCGTCATGGCCAAGCCCAACATGTTCCGCGTCGAGAAAGTCGCTAGCCACCAGGGCGACATGGGCATCGACCTCGGGCTCATCGGGCCCATCGCGGAGGAGTTCAATCGTCAGGCTGACGCCCTCGCCACAACGGCGGCACGTACTCATAACCTTCCAGACGACATTGTCGAAGCTGCCAAATCACGACATCGCCAAGCGACCGTGCTTCATGGAGTCGCTGTCGCCATCTACGAGCGTAGACACCGTACACTCCCCCTCCCACACCGCAGGGCTGGGTTCACAGCTGCGGAACTCAACAAAATGGAACCAAATCCCCTGCTGTCTGACCAGGCACCACCCGCGGCTGGACCAGACATCCCACAGAACCCGGACGAGCTCTGGGCCGAGGCCCAACGGGCGATATTCGACGAACAGGAGGACGACCCGTTCGGCTTTGGTGGGGGCCTGGACTTCCTGGGCGACGGGCCAGCCAGCGCCAACCCTGCCCCGTCGGGCACCCGCACGGCGCCCCCGACTCCGCCATTGAGAGCGGCAGCGCACCCACATGACAACGCCGCTCATTTTCAAGACGCTGACGAACAGGAGGATGACCTGTTCAGCTTCGGTGGGGGATCGGACGCTTTGGACGACGGACCAGCCAGCGAAAACCCCGCCCCGTCGGGCAACCTCTCGATCCCTACTGCGACTCCGTCCCCGAGAGCGACATCGCCCACATACGATGATATCGGCCACCGCCAAGACGCCGACCATGACCTGGGTGACCCCCGCGGACTGAGTGGCATGGAGGACGCACCGCCGATACCACACGCTGCCGACCATGCCGCCCTACCGAGACGCCAACCTTCTACGCGACCGACCTCAGAGCCCTTGCACGGCATCATGACTGGTCCCACCGCGCAAACCACTCCGCCCCCCCACCGCCGGCAGCCCGCGGGGGCGGCTTCAGCCCCCCCGCAGGGTACTAAACCAGACAGGCCCTCGTGCCCCATCCACGCTTCCATCGTTGCTGAGCGAGAGGAAGCGGCTCTCCCGACCTCTCGGGGCGTGGCCCTAGCGGCTCCAGCCCTGGGGTCGCGTGGGCCCCTCCAGTCACCCTTTCAAGGGTGACGGACGACAGCGTACAGGGTGCCGCACTACGCTAGTCCACCATTTGGACAGGCGTACCGAGGACCTCGCCTCTGTCTCGAGGCCCTCGGCTGCTGGCACTGAGCAGCCACCCCTCACCGACCGCGAAACCGAGCTGTCACAGGCTATGGCTGCTCTCCAGCAGAGGTGCTTAGCTCTCGCCGCGGACCTCGCCGCCGCCCAAGCTCGTCAAGGCCCTCTACTCCAGCGCCTCCACAGCGCTGGGCGAGCCTTTGCTGAGCTGCTCACGGCCTCGCCCGATGGTGCCGTGCCGTCACTCACCATCCAAGCTATGCTGTCATCGTTCCGCGGCGCTCCACCTGGTGCCCCGCGCTAATCTCCTCCTTTCTGCCTGCCCGTGTGTACGCGTGGCTCCGCGTCCACGGTGTCAGGGCGTGGGGGCGGGGGGTGCCCCGTCACTGCGCGCCGCTTTGCGGCCAAGCGCCCAACTGGCGGTCTGCCAAGCCGCCTAGCCACGTGTCAGCACGTCGCCTTTCTTGTTGGGGCCTATTTCCTCACGCGGTCTGACAGGTGAGATCATCATCGTCTGTCCGCCGTCTGTAGCGTCTGTCGCACTGCGCCGGGGGAGGGGTTTTTTTGTTGCCCGCCCTCGTATCTAAAGGCTGCACCGCCGCAAATAGTGCATGCGAGTTGTCGCACCGCAGTGCGCCTCGCGGACGGACCCTGGTCCGCCTACTTGTCCGATCTCTCTCTCTCTCTCTCTCTCTCTCTCTCTCTCTCCCTCTCTCTCTGTCTCTCTCTCTCTCTCTCTCTCTCTCTCTCTTTCTTTATGTATGTATTTCTCTCTCTCTCTCTCTCTCTCTCTCTCTCTCTCTTTCTCTCTCTCTCTCTCTCTCTATATATATCTCTCTCTCTCTTTCTCTCTTTCTCTCTTTTTGTTCTCTCTCTCTCTCTCTGAATCCTCCATCTCCCCCTCCCCGAGGTCACTTAACGTCGCGCATCGCGCCCCGCGATGCGCGGCGCGCGGTCATCTTCGCGCCCTCGCGCCTTCGCGCGGCCCCTCTCCCCCCGCCCCGCCACCCCTGGGGAGAGGACGCCCGCCCTGGCCCAGACCGCGACGCGCGAAGCGCGGTTATCTTCGCGCCCCTGGGGGTGATCTAGCATCCCCGACGCTCGACCCCCGCGCCGATCGAGGTGTCTCGCAGCCCTGGGCCCGCCTCGAATTCCCCAAACCGTTCGTCGAAGAGGCTGAGCTGGTCTTCGTCGTCGCTACGTTCGCTAACGGGCTGACTCCAGCAATCCGCATGCGACTGGAGCAGATAGCGCGCCGCCCTCGGGAGCGGACGGGGCCCTTGCATCCCGAACGTCGTCTGGCGTCGCCGCGCGAGTCCTCCAAGAGATAGTGGAATGGACGGTGGCGACGCGCTGCCAGACGACGTTCAGGAGACAAGAACCCTTCCATCCCCTGCTGGCCGCGCGCCAACACTGAAGAGGCACGCGGATGAGGGCTTCCACAGTTATGTCGCGGCGCTGCTGATCAGTCAAGGACATGTCGACATGTCTCTGGCGGGACGCACCGCGCGAACAGTTCGGGCTCGACTGCAGCGAGAGAACGGGGGGCCTCGCCCCCCCCCCCCCCCCCCCCCCAACGCGATCGCGGGGGGAGGGCGCAGGGGGGGGAGGAGGGAGGGGGTGGACTGGGGCGGGGGAGGAGGAGGAACGGAGGAGGAGGTGGAGGAGGACGAGGGGGGGGAGGCAGACGCGGCAGAGGAGGGGGAGGAGGGCGGCTCGAGGACTCGGCATGGCAGCAGCGTCGCGGCAGCGGTTGGCGCAGGCCGCGGGCCTCTCAAAGGAAGCCGAAGTAGAGCAGGGCCCACCGCGCAGCCCGCGATGCACAGGCACCTGTTCACGTTGAGCCTGCCCCTGTCAAGGCTGCGTCGCGCTCCGCGGCGCTCAGGCCCCCCGCGAACGACCGCGCCTTCAGGCCGAGGTGATCGGCCCTTGCCGCGGGGTTCCCAACATCCTCGATGGCGAGGCCAGCGATGAGCCACCTCTTCAACCGCAACTGGCACTCCTCCGGCGACAAGCCCCCCACCCCGAAGTCAATGCGCGTCTTGCACTTCAAGTCGGGCTTGTCGGAATCGTTGGAGTGCAAGCCGCAGGTCGCGCCCCAGCCCACGCACGCCCCCTTGGACCACACCTTTTGGGGGGGGGGGGGCGCGCGAGCAGTGGATGGCAATGGGCCCCTGAGGATCGGCAGTTCGAAGATGGGGCCCTGAGGGATGGGGCCCTGAGGATAGGAGAGCATTCCAAGCTGACCCCCCGCCCTTTGGGCCCCCCCCCTCAGGGCCTTATCTTCGAACCCCCGCACAGGCGCAGGAGGTGCAGGAGGTGCAGGAGGTCCGCCACCGCCGGCGCCGCCGACGCCAAGGCCAGAGTCAGCGGAGGCGCCGCCAGCCCCCGGCGCGCCGCCGCGCTCGCCGCCGAGGGTGCCCGCCTCCATCCAGACGTCGTCGTCGCAATCCCCGTCGTCGCTGCCGACGGACTCGTCGTCAACGTGCTTCTGCCTCATGGCCTTGATGACGGCCCACTCGCCCTTGGCCTTGGGGCCGACCTCCTTAACATCTGGCATCTTGCGGATGCGCTTCTCGCTGAACGACTTGATGCCGTCGGTGAACATCTTATGCTCATCGTCGACAAACTTGGGGTTGCGCTTCTGCTTCTCAGACAACTGGAGCCACGCCCCAGCACCATGGGCGCCCAGCCTCGCCTTCAAGAGGGACTCATACAGCGGTGTGGTCGCCAGCGACCTCGTCGCCACTCTTGGGATGATCTCTGGCGGGGTCAGCCGCGCGCAGATTAGAGCTAGAGACCATGAGGTGTGCTTCGAAGAGAGGTCAGCTGTGATGATATTGCCCTCCACGTCGGCGGCGAGGTACAAGTTGACGCGAGGGCCCCTGTGTCTGGCGACTCCGACGAAGACGAACATTTGAAAATCATCATCATCAACGCCCTCGCCTGAAATGGCGATCTCCCAGAACGTAGTCGTCTCGCGATGGGCGCCGTGCAGCTGCCGAGCCAAGAAAGACGTCGCGGCGATGTCCCGATCCTGTTGCATGCACATGCCGTAATGAGACTGTCGGCACGACAAATGCCGAACGAAAGAGACATCCTTGGGAACCATGCCTGAATCCAAAATGAACATGCTCTCTAGGAAATCGTCGGACAGGGAGGGGCCCCACGTGGAGAAACCGCTCTTCGGCCCCAAGTCGATCTCGAACACCCTCGCCAAGTACTCCCGGGCCTTCTCGGGGTCGAGGGGGAGCTTCTCAGAGGCGAGGCCCCACGGTGCGGATTCATCCCTAGCGCGGGCCTGGTCTGGGCCGACCTCTGCGCCCTCGCCCGCAGCTGCGCGGCCTGCATCAGATCGGTTCCGGGCATCAACCTCCCACGGGTCCTTCTCGTCTTGCGAGAGATCCTCGTACATGGCGCACGCCTGCCTCATGAAAGCTTTGTAGCTCATGCCAGACCCCCTGCCCTCGTTGTTCCAGCGATTGCTCGCGAACAAGAAATGAGCCCTCACCGTGCCCGGCACGCGGCGACTCGCCTGGCCCGCCTTCAACGGCACGCCTTTCTCCAAAAGGTCTCGGCGAGTTGTCCTGGACGGGTCCTTCCCGCCGGCGGCAATGTGTTCCTGGCGCCACTGCGAGCAAAACCCGCCTGAGCTCGCGCGGTGCACCGACGGCGCGTGGCCACTCTTGATATTCGAGGCCTGTCTAAACTGCGCCAGGAGGCGCTCCACGTGCATGTTGGAGATCTTGCCGTGCCGCCCCCACTGCCGCATGGCCTAAGTCCCACCAGCTCTTTAGGCGGAGGTGGTTTAGGGAGATTCCTTTTCCGCCCCCCCGTCGTCCTCTTCGGCCCCCCTGGACCTGGGCGGAAGGTTCCGCGAGGGGTTGGGGCGCCCAAGATGGCCCAAGACGGCTCCAAGAGGGCATCAGAGAGCCCCAGATGGCCTCCAAGATGGCTCAAGATAGCCCAACATGGATCAATATAGCTGGCCTTCTCCCCTTTTCGCTTCCGATGGGCTTCTGAGGCCTCACGACGGTTCCAAGATGGCCCATGAGGGCCCCAGGAGGGGCCCGAGAGAGACCCAGGATGGGCCCAAGAGCGCCCCAAGAGCGCCCCAAGAGGGCCCCAAGAGGCCCATTTGAAGGCCCCGACGGGGGGGGCAGACAAACAACCCAGGAAGCCCCTGGATGCGTGCCCCCACGCTTCCCTGATCAAAGCAACTCCTCTGGGCATCGTTGCTGACAAGATCACCGTTTCAGGATGGGCTGGTGGGGATTAGCGAAGCGTGAACGATCGAAAAAGAAGAAGGGACTGATGGGGGAGGGGGGGGGTAGAAAGGGGGAGGGGAGGGATGCGGCATGGGAAGGGAGGGAAAGGTAGGTGGATGAGGAGGAAGGCAAGGAGGGATATGAGGAGGCTACATGGACCAGCGCTGAAGGCCAGGACGACCCGGAGGCCCCTGGCCCCCAGCGCGCCCCCCCCAGGGCCCCTGGCTGGGTCAGCGGCAGGCGCCACTCTCACCAGCCAGGGGCCCTGAAAAGAAAGGGGGAGAAAGAGGAGAAGGAGGCACGGAGGCAAGGGGGTGGAGGAGGCAAGGAGACATATGAGGAGGAGGACGAGGATGCAGATAAGGCCGCGGCGGCCCAGAACTCGTCGCATTGCTCGAGGTCCCTGGCGCTCTCGAGTATGTGTCGAACATGCCGGTCGGGCTCCTCCCCCCTCCTCTTCCTCCTCTTCCCCTTCCTCCCCCATCCTCCTCTTCCTCCTTCCACTCCTCCATGGCGCTCCTCGCGCCCGGCGCTACCCCCCAGGGGCCTTCTTGCTGAGCGCGTGCTCGAGACAACACTCCGGGACGTCAAAGAAGGCCCGAGCGATCGCCCTGCGATCGCCCTCGCTCGTCGAACACGTGGCCGAGGCGAACCTAAAAGGGAAGTCCTCGAACGCCAAGGCGCCGAAGAACCAGACTTGGAGTTGCAAGGAGACGTACAACTTTCGCGCCTCAGTCAGGAGATGGCGTTGATCATCAGGCCAATGTTCGAATGTCGGCGCCAAGTCTGGAAGCGCAGGAGGGGTCCGCATCACAATCTCCAACTTGCCCATGCACCTCCTGAATGGCGAAATCGCTGGGTTCGCCACGAGACGAATGGAGTCGCCATCGTGATCCGCAGCCTCCAATGAATGCCACAAGTGGTCGAGGTCTTCGCTGGACCACGCGGCGAGCGATGATGACATGAGGTAGTTCTTATCCTGCAGGCGGTCGAGCGCCCTGTTCAACTTCTGAGCGAGATACTTGCAGTAATCGTCTTCGTCGTAGTTTCCCATGACATCATCGACCTCGCCCTGCGTCGGGAAAGCCCTCGTCATGACGCGGGGCAGCAGCTCGCGAATCAAGACCCCCGCTGAGATCACTGCAGACGTTTTGCCGAAAGTACCAAACCTCGCCTTCGATGGAAAGTCGGCCAACAAACCGAAGAGCAGGCCTGATTCCACTGCGACAGAGCAAAAGCGGCCCCCGAACTCATCATCAGAATCTTCGCAACACCCCGGTCGACAATAATGGATGGGAGGGCCGCGGACATCGCCGTTGAAAAACGAGAGGAGCTTGCTCCGAGCATCGATGCACCTGGCTTCCTGGAGGAGGAGAGGGCACGGCGGAGGGCGAGGTCAGGGCGACGGACGGCAATGTCGCGGGCAACTCAGGGCAAGGAGAGGTGGGAGGAAAGAAAAGGAGGCCTTGGGGTCCTGGGGGCCCTGGGGCCCTGGGTTCCTGGAGTCTTGGGTCCTGGGGCCCGGGTGGGTGGGTGGGCGGGCAAGTCTCTCTCTCCCCCTCGCCCAAATCCTCGGCGGACTCGCGCAGCATCTGGCCGCCCTGCATCGCCGGGCCCACCGCTCGGCCGACGCCGTGCTTGAAGATGATATCCAGCATCTGCGCGTGCCTGATGTTGGGGTTCCAATCTGGCGGCACGGGGGCCCGCCGGCATTCCCAAGCCAATGACTTCAACGCCCTCATCATCCTGACGTAGACGCCCGGCCTGGCACAAACGTACTGAATGGAGAAGGCGTCGCCGACCAAACTGTCCTCCTGGACCGCCGCCGCCACGACGCGGCGCATCAAGTGAACCGTGCAGAAGGTTGGCTGGAAGAGGACGTTGGCGGGCAGCTGAGCGTCGAGGAACGCGAGGAGGCGCTTGTTGGCTGCCGCTCCGTCAGGCACCTCGCAGCGCACCAGGAATTTGCGCGCAGCTGCCAGCTCGCGCAATTGATCTAACCATATCGGTGTCCGGGCCTGCGCAGAGGCGATGGTGCTCGCTTTGCACTTTGCAATGAACACGGGAGGTATGTGCACGGCGCGCGACTCCCAAGTGCTGCTGCCAGCGGCGCCGGAGATGTCCTGGTAGTGGATCCCCAGGGTCTGGGCGAAGAGCTCGAGCACGCCCTTCTGCGGAAACCCCTTCTTGCTGAAGTGGCCCAGGTAAGTCTCGCGGTCCACCGTCTTCCAGCCGCCGTTGTCGTCAGGCACGCGGCACCTTGCACGCCTGCGGGGCTCGCGAGGACGACCGGCGCAAAGGGGGAAGGGGTCTCTGACGGCGGGGGGTGGTCGAGGGCGGCAGGAGAGGGCCCCCGAAATTTGGCGCCCTTTGGGGCCCCGAAAAAGCCATTGGTTCCGCGGCCGCCCCCATGCTGCGCAGTGGCACGTTCGCGCCACTGCGCAGCACCCCCCCGGGCCCTGCTTCTCAACCCCGAGGCCGCCCCCATGCTGCGCAGTGGCGCGTTCGCGCCACTGCGCAGCACCCCCCCGGGCCCTGCTTTTCAACCCCCCTTGAATATCCCCCCCCCCCCCCCTACTACACGCGCTCACATGCTCGACAGTCGGAGTTGTTTGGACAGGACATCCCAGAGGGCGCAAGACTCTTCCGAGGGCAACTCGACCAAGAAAAAACACGGAGCGCGTGAGCGGGACATGACGCGGGTAGAAGGGGCAAAAGGATACCCGGGGTCGACTTACCAATCAACTCCGACGGCATTCACCCCGATCGCCCGGAGCGCCCTGACATCAAGCCCGCCCACCGCCCGAAGTGCACCGTCATGGGGCTGGCGTCGTGGTTCTTGATGATGACGATGCCTTCGGAGGGCGACGGCGGCGGGATTGGAGATGGGGGGGGGGGGGGGGGGGGGGGGAGATAAGGGAGGAGGCAGGCAGACGGCAGGAGGAGGCAGGGAGGAGGCAGGAGACAGAAGGAGATAGAGGGGGATGGCGGCAGGGGATGGGAGCGAAGGAGGGCTGGCAGCGGGGAGGCAGCAGCGGAGTGAGGCAGGAGAGGGGGGGGGAGAGAGAGAGAGAGAGAGAGAGAGAGAGAGAGAGAGAGAGAGAGAGAGAGAGAGAGAGACGGAGAGAGAGAGAGAGAGAGAGAGAGAGAGAGAAGAGAGAGAGAGAGAGAGAGCGAAAAAAGAGAGAGAGAGAGAGAGAGAGAGAAGAGCGGAGAGAGAGAGAAGAGAGAGAGAGAGAGAGAGAGAGAGAGAGAGAGAGAGATGAGAGGGGCGGACACAGAGAGAGAGAAGAGAGAGAAGAGAGAGAAGAGAGAGAAGAGAGAGAAGAGAGAGAAGAGAGAGAGAAGAGAGAGAAGAGAGAGAAGAGCGAGGAGAGAAGAGAGAAGAGAGAAGAAGAGAAGAAGAGAAGAAGAGAAGAAGAGAGAGGAGAGAGGAGAGAGGAGAGAAGAGAAAAGAGAGAAGAGAGAAGAGAGAAGAGAGAAGAGAGAAGAGAGAGGAGAGAGGAGAGAGGAGAGAGGAGAGAGGAGAGAGGAGAGAGAGAGAGAAAGAGAGAGAGAAACAAAACAAAAAAACGAGGAAGGGAGGATAAGGGAGGGAGGGAATGGGGGAGGGGGGGAAATGAGGGCGGGAGCAGGAAGAAGGGAGGAGGAGGAGGAGGAGCAGGATGAAGAGGAGGAGGAGAAGGAGGAGGAGGGGGGGAGGAGGAGGAGGAGGCGGGGGAGGAGGGGAGGGGGGGGGAAGGGGGGGAGGGGGGGAGTGGCGGAGAAGAGAAATGAGGAAGGATGAATGATGATCATGCGGAGGAGAAGGAGGAAGAGGAGAAGGAGGAAGAGGAGGAGGAGGAGGAAGTGGGGGGCGCGGGGCAGCCGCTTCTCACTCGACAAAGGGAGCCCAGATGCCACTGGAAACGGCCTGGTACACACATGGCGAGATGACGAGGGACTGCACTCTGGCCCTATACTTTGCCCCGTCGCGCACTTATGGGGCGCGCGCCTCCGCGCGCCCCGCGCGGGGGGTTGGATGTGGCAGGCGCCGAAAGGCTAAGCGCTCTTCGAACGTATGGCATCGGATTCAGAACTGCGCCGAGTCAGAACTGCGCTGAGTCACCGGGCGTTCGATGGTTGTTTTGGTGCCCGAAGCTGCGTTCGCCACCTGCAGTTCCGCAGTTCGTCGGCGCTCCGAACTGGCACTCCCTCGCAGCACGCAGCCGTCCGAACTATTCACGCGCAGAGAGTAAATAGGTCGCGAGAAGGGGGGCGACGGGGAGAAGAAGGAGGGATAGGAGGAGGGGGGTGGAGGAGCGGAGGGAGGACGCGGGGAAAAGGGGAGGAGGAGCAGGAAGAGGAGGAGGAGGGGGAGGAGGAGGGGGAGGGGGGGGAGGAGGAGGAGGGGGAGGAGGAGGGGGGGCAGAGGGAAGGGAGGGGGGCAGGAAGAGAGGAGGGGACAGGGAGGAGGAAGGGAAGAGGAAGGGATGAGGACGAGGGGGGGCGAGGGGGGGGGGGG